ATATATATATATACAAGATATATACATATATATGTATATATATATATATAAGCGTAATACCCTGGTTTGGGGGTATAGGGTTTAGGGCTTAAGGGTTTGGGGGTCCGGGGCTTTACCCCTCCTACCTAGCAAGGACAGGGACCGCATTTTCTGTTGCTTCGGGTCTCCACACCGCACAGCCACCATTCACAAAGCCCTCTTTGCAGGGTAGGGTTTGGGGTTTCGGGTTTAGGGCTCAAGGGATTAAGGTGTGCAATTCTGACACTGGTAGCAAACATGTTTATGCTACATCCCAAACCCTAACTCACAAAGTCCAAACTCCAAACCCTTCCCGCTACGACCCATGCATACTGAACCCAACCCAAATCCGTACAAGCCAGCTTGCTCTTTTCTTCACGCCAACGAACACTCCTCCGCGCCAGCCTTTTTTTGTAGAACCACCAAACAAAACGAAACACATCTGGGAAGCTCCCATATAATATACCATGTTAAGCCCTAACCCCCCCAAATACCTACTATATAGGGTACTAGAGCCCCTAAGGCCCTATATAGTAGGCACCTGGAGGGTTACGGGAGGATAGCTTCTCACCCCCACATCCCCGGGCCGGCCTCCGACTTTCGATCTAAACCCTAAAACCAAAAAACCCTGAAGACTGCACGTACCCTAAAGCCTTAAAAACTAAAACCTAACAGTTAAACCCTCAACCCTAAGAACTGAACCCTAAACCCTAAAGCCTAAAACTACAAATTCAACCCTAAACCCTAAAGACTAAACCCTACAGCCTAAAACCTAAACCCTGAAGCCTAAAGACTAAGCCCTAAACACTAAACCCTAAACCCCCAAAAAACCTTCTACCCTCTACCCTCAACCCTAAAAACTAAACCCAACCCCAAAACTGAACCCTAAACTAAACACAAAAAAATAAACCCTAAACCCTACACCCTAAAGCCCAAAGCCTAAACCCTTAAAAACTAAACCCTAAACCCTGCACCCTAAATCCTAAACCCTAAAAACTAAACCTTAAACCCTCAAAACTCAACCCCAGAAGCCGTACGGTCGAAGTCCCTCCCAGGCCTGAGGCTCTGGATTTCTGGCGGCAGGTCGAAGTCGTGAGCGAAAGCGTCCCCACCGAGCCTCCGACTTACAGGAAACGACAGGTGGGGAGTTTAGGGTCTATAGACTATATAGGCTTAGGGGTTTAGGGTTTAGGGTTTCGGGTTTAGGGTCTAGGGTTTAGGGCTTAGGGCTATATAGGGTATATAGGGCTTAAGGTTTAGGGTTTTTCGGGTTAGGTTAAAAGGAAACTACAGGTGGGGAGTTTAGGGTATATAGGGCTTCCATAAGGCTTCCATAAGGTATATAGACCTTCTATAAGGCTCCTATAACGGTGACTGCCCACCTGAACGTGTCCTAGACTGAAGCTGAAAGGCTGGCAGTTCCCGAAAAGTCCCAAGGACAGAAAAATACTTGGGTTTAGGATACTTGTTTTGAAGGTTTGTATTTGGGAGAGCAAGTGATTGCAATTAAAAGTTGCACCCTCAAGGATTTGAAATGTCAGGGAGTCAGGGAATCGAAGATACCACGCCATTGTGTTCAGGAGGGGCTGCAGTGCTCACCTCACCGCGAGGCCTCAACACCCAGCCCATATTGAACAAAATACCTAAAACCCGTCTAGAAGCCTTCTCGATCCTTCTGAAATCTTCTGAGCCTCTTGTAGAACCCGCGGAACAGGGAGCCTCCCTACTCAAGTCGACGCCCTTGTCTAGCCTGGGGGTCTGAAAAAAAAGATCATAAGGGTCTTGATAACCAAAACAAGGTCTTTTAGGGTCTTCTAAACTATACCATACCTAGAATAGGGAACCCTCAGGACTTGCATTATAACCATACGAAAAATATTTCAGGTTTCTATATTGGGGGCGAGCCCTAAACCCTAACCCAAAACCCCTAAACCCTAAACCCTGATTAAACCGACATGAGGGTAAGCCCTGAACCCACCCAGAAGGGCACCTTGCAAGGGAGAAGCTTGACCACTCGGATGGAGTCTTGATCTCCGCTTTCCAGGTAGCCATCGGATGGAGGAGTACTTCCTCAGCTTCCCTCAAAGCCCTGAGTACCACATAGGAGCATACAGGCTATATAGGGTTATGGTTTGTGNNGCTTGTCTTGGGGACATGCATGGAGTTAGAGACCCTAAACGCTAAACCCGAGTTCACGGACCAAAGGTTTATGCCGAATGGCGTGCGGGCTCGGAATCTAAAACTCTAATGTAGGGGCCTAAATAATTACCTATACTATATTTTGGGGGGCTCCCTATTCTGAGTATAGTCTAATGGGCCCCCAAACCCGATTTTAATTATTAAGGGCCCCTATAATCGCTGGGGCTCCAAATAGCCCAAAGTAGGTACTATTTATAGACTTTAGACCCCAAAGTAGGTGCTATTTGTTTTACTTGGAGCCCTGGGAGTAGGGCTTCCAGCAAATTCCTCTGGAGAGCAGCCCCTGAGCATAATTAGAATAAGGCTTGGGGTATATTATACGATAATACTATAAGTATAATGTAGGGGCCTTAATAATTAGAATAGGGCTTGGGGTATATTCTGCTATGAGTATAATAAGGAACCCCCAAAACCCTATTCAAAGGCCCCTACATTACTGTACAGTTTGAACAGTTTCGACTCCCAAAGGAACAACTGTCGGGCTCTTCTAAGCAACTCAAAATGTTGGGAACTACCCCGCAAGCTCCGCAACTAGCCAACCCTGACTGTTCGTGTCGCGGAAGGGGAGTGGGAACCTCGGGATGTATCATTTTCCCTAAGGGTCCATGTACCCAAATAGTATATACATTGGCCCCAAAGTACCTTTCTAGGGACTACATTAAGGCCAAAGTATATACTATTTGGGTACATGGACCCTTAGGGTTCAGCTTCTCACGAGGGTTTTCTGTAGGCATCCTGTGCACATCCAAGACGTCAGACTCGCACACTCAGGTGTTCCATATATGGGCCTGCTGTACCCTTGAAAGGACCCTGACACACAGCTCGAAGCCCAGAAGTGTTGGATTTAGAACTTAAGACTTAGGCCCGATCTGCGCAGCCCCTTAAGCTGGGTCCTTAACTTCAACCTGCAAGTCTGGAAGGCAAGCTCCGAGGAGGAATTTCAGGACCGTGGAGTTTGAGGACCAGTTCAAAATCTTAGGACGGCCATCATGGCCCTACCGATCTGTTTCCACTGCCCCAGCTGACCAACTCTGAAAAATGGGGCTAACAAAGCCAGCTTGCCACCTGAGGAAAAACAGCTGTCAGGTTGGGCAGGATCATCTCTTGCAGCCTCAGGACGCATTAGGGCTCACGACTTTTTGAATCATACGAACCCTCAAAAGCATATGTTTGCCAAACGCGCAAGATCAACATCCCCGGCCCTCCCCTTTCAGGCCGGAAACTGCTGATGGATATGAACTCAGCTTTCCGATCGGTGAAGCCTTGAATCCCAAAACCTGACACAAGTCTAGTTAATTCCCCCAGATTCTACACTCAAACCGACCTACATCACCTTCGAGTGCTGCAGAGATCCAGGCTAGGATTTGGCTTGGCTAGATTGAACTGTACATGGCCACATTCAAAACACCAGATACATGGATCGCAAATTTAGACATTCCCCTTCTCAACGTCGTCACGGTAGCAATGTGTAGATCATTCATATATATATATATATGTGTGTGTGTGTATACGTATGTAGTGCATTAATTAACGTCCAATTTGGTTTCATGTCTGTTTCAATCGTCATCTACAGTGACAGTTATCAAGCTCGGAAAGAATCTCTCTTGAGCAGTGTATGGGCCTGAACTCCAGTCAGCGTGCGTGGCTACGCAATCTAGCGCTGACGGTGCCCGGTGTTGTCTCCGCATTTTGCTGGCGACATCGCAAAAGTGTCAGCATCATGCTGCCGTGGGTCTCAGTGGGTCTGCCCACAGTGACGTCGTGCCACTGCATGCACACCAGCACATGTGATTGAGTCGGCCGAGTATGTGTTGGCGGCGATTGTCACCTGCCGTTAAAAGACAAAAGAAACATATGCTACAGGGGCCCGAGCCACAATGCTTCGCCGCGATGAACGTTTGCCACCTTTGGCACCCCTAAACATTGCAGCTAATTGCATTCGCAGATTCAGCTGCTGGGCTCAGGGGAGTATCGTGGAGTCCTGCATTCCTGTCCGGACCGTGCAACCCCCGCAAAAACCACTCACACAGGTGGCACATTCATAGCTCCAGAAGGATCGCCTGCACGACGCAAAGCAGTGCTTGCTGCTGCAATGGTAGCAACCAGAGAAGCACGCCTTCATGACGCATTTCGCGTAGCATCCTTCTGGATGGGTGGTGGGGGTGGGGTAGCAAGAAGTATCGCAAGACCTGATCAGAGCACCACTGGATGCGCAGCTTCCCGCCCTTTCTGCAAGCCTCTTCACAGCAGCTGTGTGATTGTCTGCTGGTGGCGTGGCAGCCTCGACTGCTTCAGCCAAGGCATCAGCCAGGTTAGGTGTTTGGGACTGGAAGTCGAGTTCTTTGCTGCACACGGTGCACCGAGCTTGCAGACACGCAGCACAGTTTCTTCTTCTGTGCCCACCTTCACAATATTTTGCACAGAAACGGCTGCCGCAGTCAAACTCGGACCCGAGACAGTCCGCGCAGGAAGCCACCACATCTTGCTGGTAAAGGCAGTTCGACACACAGACCACCCTGTCCATGCTTCCTGAGCATTGGTCGCCACAACTCTTAAGCTTCAGCTTGTTGTCTGCAAGGCAAGTGGCATCTGCTCTGGGCAGAGCCAACAGGAAAGTCCCAACGATGCTTGCCGTCTTGAACATCTCCGGGGCAACTTCAGGCAGCTTGTTGGTCCGATGCTCGAGCCCCACAAAATCGTGCTCCGGCGAGGGAAGCTTCTGCAAAGCACAACTGCAGGCCCAGAGCCATCGAGTTTGGGTTGCAATTCGACTCGTGGCTTTTGGGGGACATCTGGTTGGAAGACCCACAGAATACCTTCGACTGTGGCCTAACTTCCACTGTACCCACTATCAACGACCGGAAGGCTACTCAAGGGTATGGTGGGGATTCCGGGTTTAGGGATATGGGTGTTTGACGTGCAGGGGTGCAGAGTCTAGCGTATAGTCGGAATTCAGTCGTTACGGGGCACATTATGCTACAGCACCCTGAGGAATAGTGTCACACTAAACCCTAAGCCCTGTAAGCTCTATTTATTCCGGCTGCTGTGTCATACTCCTGGAGGTGTCGGTTCGAGGGTCGAAGTAAGGAGTGAAAGCTCATGATCGATCTGTAGGGTCTGAGTCCGTGTTACGGGATAAGGGTCGGCGGATGCTGTCAATTCTTTTCACAAGGTCGTTATGCTAGCCCCGTACAGGGCTTCGTCTATTACGCGGTTGCATATGTTGCTGACAAGACTGTCTTAACTTAAAGTCCGCATTCACGATACAGAAGACTCCTTCATGGGCAGTGACCAAGACTTTAATGTAGTCGGGGCACATACTAATAGAGGTATAAGTGAAAGAGGTGACCGTGCCCAGAGTCGTCTCCGCATTTTGCTGGCGACATCGCAAAAGTGTCAGCATCATGCTGCCGTGGGTCTCAGTGGGTCTGCCCACAGTGACGTCGTGCCACTGCATGCACACCAGCACATATGATTGAGTCGGCCGAGTATGAGTTGGCGGTGATTGTCACCTGCCGTGAAAAGACAAAAGAAACATATGCTACAGGGGCCCGAGCCACAATGCTTCGCCGCGATGAACGTTTGCCACCTTTGGCACCCCTAAACACTGCAGCTAATTGCATTCGCAGATTCAGCTGCTGGGCTCAGGGGAGTATCGTGGAGTCCTGCATTCCTGTCCGGACCGTGCAACCCCCGCAGAAACCACTCACACAGGTGGCACATTCATAGCTCGAGAACGATCGCCTGCACGACTCAAAGCAGTGCTTGCTGCTGCAATCGTAGCAACCAGAGAAGCACGCCTTCATGGCGCATTTCGCGTAGCATCCAGCTGGATCGGTGGTGGGGTAGCAAGGAGTACCGCAAGAACTGATCAGAGCACCACTGGATGCGCAGCTTCCAGCCCTTTCTGCAAGCATCTTCACAGCAGCGGTGTCATTGTCTGCTGGTGGCGTGGCAGCCTCGACTGCTTCAGCCAAGGCATCATCCAGGTTAGGTGTGTGGGACTGGAAGTCGAGTTCCGTGCTGCACACGGTGCACTGAGCTTGCAGACACGAATCACAGGCTCCGCTTCTGTGCCCACCCTCACATGCATTTGCACAGAAACGGCTGCCGCAGTCAAACTCGGACCCGAGACAGTCCGCGCAGGAAGCCACCACATCTTGCTTCTGAAGGCAGTTCGAAACACAGACCACCCTGTCCATGCTTCCTGAGCATTGGTCGCCACAACTCTTGAGCTTCAGCTTGTTGTCTGCAAGGCAAGTGGCATCTGCTCTGGGCAGAGCCAAAAGGAAAGTCCCAACCATGCTTGCCGTCTTGAACATCTCCGCGCAACTTCAGGCAGCTTGTTGGTCCGATGCTCGAGCCCCACAAAATCGTGCTCCGGCGAGGGAAGCTTCTGCAAAGCACAACTGAAGGCACAGAGCCGTCGAGTTGTGGATTTAGACGATTTGGGGGGTTTCCGAAAATAGGGGACACTGATACAGCACCTTAAACAGTAGGATCTTTATTTATTATAAGGACCCCCAAAATACGGTACCCCTTGTTTTCGGAAACTCCCATTTAGACGTTTCATTCACCATCGACCTCCCTTTAGCCCCACGAGCAGGAAAGCATAAACCACAAAGTGGGCTTTTCGACTTACACGACACTCTATGCCCCAAACCTTAATGGTCTATAACTACAGTCTGTGAGCCAAGCCCTATTCCCCCTAGTCACAACTTGGTAGTTAGCTGCACCTTCGGATCACCGTAAGGGCCTCAAAAAATTAGAATAGGGTTTTGGGGCCCTTATACTACACTTATATCAAAAACCCCAAAATAGTACTTGGCAAATATCTAGGCCCCTAGTTAGCTGCACCTTCTCACCGTTAGGGCATCCCAGCTCCCAGGCCGACGACGCGAAGCTAAACAGATTGCTCGCGACCCACGGCGAGGCCCAGGGCTCTTGGTTCTAGACTCACCTAGGGTTTTGGGGTTTAGTTTTTCAGGGTTTAGGGTTTAGTTTTTTTAGGGTTTTGGGGTTTGGTTAGGGTTTAGTTGTTTAGGGTTTTGCGCTTAGTTTGTTAGGGTTTTGGGGTTTAGTTTTTTAGGGTTAGGGTTTAGTGTTTTGGGGTTTTGGGCGTAATCTGTTAGGGTTTTGGGTTTAGTTTTCTAGGGTGTAGGGTTTAGAATGTTCGGGCTTCGAGGGTCGGCGATCACTACTTCCGGATCTACAAGCCTAGAGATAGAAAACAACAAATAAGCAACTCGATGCGGAAATACATTTACAGCACACATAAGCGCTACATAGATATATATATATATATATATCGCAGAAGTAGAGTAGAAGCCATAAAGTTGGGACATTCCAATCCCCATGGCCTTTTAAGGTAAAGTATAAGCAGTCCTGGCCCTCCTAAGCCCATGTTCCAACTTTCTGGGGTCCGCTGTATGTGTATATATATATATATATGTACATATGTGGATATACATATACATAAATCTTTACATAAACAAACAACGATATAACTGCACGTATATATATATATATATACATACACAACCATCTACACACACACACAAACCCTGCTGCGGGGCTGAAGACCCGAATTCAGAGCGGGCGATTCTGGGATATTGATCAACCCTGCTAGACTGACCGCGACTGATGGCTCAACGACCAAAACTCAGAACCCCCTGATCAACCCGGACGAGCGGCAGCCAGCACTTGGCCCTTGTCCCAGCCCGAGTAACTTCCACCTCAGTCTTGGAGCTTGTGGTCAAGCAAATCACCACCAAAGCAGACGTAGGCTCCTTGAAGTCGAGTAAGCCACGTTCCCATTGCGGCCTGATAAGGGTCCCAACAGATCTGAAACTCCTCCATAAGAGCGAAAGGGTTAGTTTGGGGGTGGTTCGGGGCTTCGACTCGCACACTCGCACACGGCAGACAAGGGTTTATGCTGTTGCTGTTCTCCCACCGCTATGGATTTGGTCAGATCCAGCAACTTCAACATCGGCCCAGCTGCGCATGGCCCGCTCTGGGTCACGAGGATGCTCTGGTCATGCATATGCGACCGGCAAAGCTCGTAGAACTCTGTACCTGACAACATCGGGATTATGATACGGATCCTTGATCCTTATTCTCTACGGTACATTACCCTGCAAGTTGCAAGACTTAACCTGTCGTTCCCGAGAGGAGAGACTCCCAGCACAAGCCCTGAACCAACTCTACCTGCTTGGGGCTTTGGGTTTAGGCTGGGTACCCTATAAACCCGAAACCCTGACTAGTTTCTGTTTCGCAGGATGCAGGTTCGCAGGTCTTCTTTTCACCGCTGAACAACTGGTGCTGCCTAATTGTTGTGCTCGGAGGAGCTAGAAGCAGTGTCTGCTCAGGTCCGGGATGTTTGTGGGGGTACCCTCTACAACAAACTCCAAGCCTTAAGCTATAGAACCCAAACGAGCCCTGAAGCACGCTTTCCACAACGCTAAGCTCCAAGTATGCAGGCGGTCATAGCTCAGTGCTACCCAGGGCTTCTTAAGTCGGAACCGCACAACAGTTTTAGTATTAGGGGTCTTAGGGTTATTCCAGGCTTCGGGTTGCAGGACTTGGGGTTTTGGGGTTTGGGTTCCGTGTATCGAAGATGCTAAACCCTACCTTTTTACACAGGCTTCATTGGAGCTCGACCGTTCGGATTGTGCGTACTTAGCCTTGTGCATCTCGCCACAAGTGCGATGTGCTAAACCTTACCTACACCCTGAACCCTTTGCAGCGGCGGACTTGGCTGTAGCCTGTTCGGAAAAAGAACACTGAGGGTGTAGCCCTCAGGGTCCAGGTACCTGTATAACGCCATTATATACCAGCCAGTACATTCCCCAAAACACACACACACACACACCCACACACCTCGTCATAAAGTTCTTAAAGCTCAACCCATGCCGAGTGGCTGTACAGCTTCTCCAGCTCCTTGCTGTCAAAGGCATCTGGAAAGTCCAGGATCAAAATGTCGAAGGTCTGGTCCTCGGGAGCAAAGCAAACAAGAGGCAAGACTTACCTTAAACTACAAGAACCTGCTTGTTCGTAGGTTCTTGTTGTAAACCTATATAATAGAGGTCATAGGGACCCTACAGAAAAGTTGGCTTTGGTAGCTTAAAAGTAGGGTCTAGGTCATTAGGAACACAGTAACCGAAAGGGCTGGGGGTTGCTTCGGTTGACATGAGAGCGCGCACA